TTGAAAATGGGCATTCTAGTTTTCCCCCCTGATTTCAGAAACTTTGTTGTCATTGTCATAAGCTAATTCAATTCTTGGTTCTTATTGCATTTATTCTTCTTTCGCGTCAAAGTTAAACCTCTCTGCTTCTACTTCTTGAGGCAATCACGCAGTTTAAAAGAAAAATGCAAATAGAAAAAAATCTTTGGGCAATAAAATAAATACCCAAGGCCTTACTTCTTGAATTATATTTATTCTTCTTTCATATCAAATAATGGAGACGGAATATTTATTGCAGAAAAGGTAAATTGCAAAATGGATGGCTCCAACTCACTACCATGGAAACAAAAAATAACTCATCACTTCAATGGCAATGGATAGATATGGCAGCGTGAACAAGATAGCATAGTCAAAAACAACCATCTGCCTCCTGAGGTGAGAAGCGCAACATGGAGATCTCAGGGGAGAAGCAGATTCTAGAGGAGTACATTGAGATTCAATTTAAGCCCTCCGACGATTTCGAGTGCCGCATGCTAGGGCATAACCCACTTAAGAACAAGGAACATACTCGTGGTATTGAGTCCAATTCTTGGGTCAGAACTGACCTAAAGAACAGTAGTAATCAAGATGAGGGATCACGCACTTGAAGCGCTAAAATGTGCCGCTGTGAATGCGCTAGTTCTTCCACTCTCTGGGCTTGCTGCCTTGCCAAAATCTGAAATTCTTATTAAACCAGCATATGAGCACATCTGGATGCACAGCATGAAAAGCAAAAGGGCAGCGTACGAATCTGCAATAATAATAAGGGAGTTTCACTAAAACACCCAAAATGGAGTCTGAAATTATAAAAAAACCCAACACCTAAAACACTTTATAAACACGCCCAAAACTCATCATTACACACACTCAAAACCCATTTATAAACACACCCAAAAAATATACAATTGTTGATTTTGGGTGTGTTTCTATGTTTAAATAGTGTTTGAGTTTTTTTATAAATACATGTCTAGGATTGGGTTTATTTATAAATTTGTATAATAATAACATGTACACTTGAACTCATAAAAAGATCTTAAAGCCCCCAAGTAGCCTGGTTATTATAAATATCAGCACTTGAGACCACCATTATACCGTGAAGAAGTTCATCACTACAAAAGTGAAGCACCTAGACATTCTAATTTTATCCAATCCAGTTGTCTTATTTTGAGATCACAACTATAAATCTCTCTCTAGCATGACCAGCCATGATATCTAGAGAGAAAATATAATTGCCAGAATCTGCTGTTCTACAGCAGAGTTGCTTAAACCGAATTAATATGGAATTCCTCTATCCCACTCCCACCCATACACCTCTGTGAAGGTAGCAGACTTATTTGTCAAACACTCATGGCAGTATCACAAGTGACAAGGACCCAATTTTCTTAAGCCAATTCTGGGAGGCCTTCAAAATGCAAGGAACCGAGCTCTTTCGAAGCTCGGCCTACCACCCTCAAACGGACGGCCAAACTGAGGTGGTCAATCACACGGTTGAACATTTCCTTGGTTACTCATTTGGTGATAAACCCAATTCTTGGGTCAGCTAGTTACCCTGGGCCTAATTTTGGTACAATATCACATTCCATAGCAGCATACGCATGGCAACCTTCCAAGCTTTATATGGATACCCACCTTCTTCAAATTTCAATCACAGCCTATCTTCCAGGGACAACTTATATGTCCATCAAGTAGATGTGGCCCTCAAGGACCGTGACCAACTACTTAACCTCCTCAGTCCTGAAGCAAAACATGCAGCAAGCCCAGAACCGATGCAGAGGAGCTCCTAGAAATAGCATGTAATTAGAATAAGTAATATTCCATGAGCTAGGAATTAGCTGTCACTCTTATCTGGATCAATATTCTGTAGCAGTATTTATTGACCAATAGTTCTCTTTTGAAACAGTAAAATAATTGACTTTTTTTTAATTATAAAATAATTGAGTTTTATATGTAGTAAATAGCGTACCATGTAACAATATAGCTATACATTTTTGAACAGTCATTTTTGGGATGGGATGTTATAGCCTTGGTCTTTTTTTAATGGACATTTAGTATGTTGCAGATGAGCTTGAGGGTCGTTGAAGGACTGTGGGGCCAGGCCATCGGCAACAATTGCTTAAGATATTTGTGGAAATCGACACCAGCGTCGGCGGCGTCTGTTACTACTTGGTAAAACAGATCTAGGCAGGGGTTGCAGTAGGAGGGGAAGACCTTGTTGATTAATCTTGTGAGATCTGGAGGACCAACAACAGTTATTGTTGGAGCAGTTGGAGTTGCAGCAGGAGACCTTACTCTTTTGATATTCAGTTGTGGACCGGTATACTTTTAGAACCGACATTGACGTGGTTCCGGCATGCTTTTAGAACCGAACTGATACACTTGCACCGGTTTCTTCATCTGAGAAGACAACTACAGATTGAAAGATTTTGAGTCGATGAGAAGAGAGAGGATTTTAATACAATACATAGACTTGGGCCGGGCCGCCCAAGGATTTTGTTACTTGTGCTCCAAGACAATGTATGTATGTTACCTAACCACAGTGAGAACGACCAATTTTCTTGCGTTTCTTTTGGATTTATACTTCTTTTTTTGCTTTTTTGTTTGACAAACTTTTTTTTGTCTACGGAATCTCAAACAATTCAATTAAGAGATATTTATTTAAAAATTCATTTTAGCATGACATATTATACAAAAACTTATAAAGTCTATTTGGAGAAAAAAAACCCAAAATTAACTAATTGTCATTTTCTAAAATTGAGTTACGTCTACCTTGTAATAGGCCTGAGAGCCTTTTGTAAGAGCTGAGCAGCCCCTGCCTCTTACAGGCCTTCTCAACGGACCCCGGCAGTGGACTTCAAAATGGTGAGGCCATTGGACCCGAAATGGTGATGCCCAGTCCTAATGTTAATAAGCCCCACAATCATCATAAGTGAAATAAAAAAGTCATAATACGATTGAGTTTTGTTTATTATAGGGTTTAGGTTAGGATTTGTTCATAAACCTTCTATATCAGTAGCATAGACTAGTCGTCTTCCTGGGTGTGAATGGTACACATCCTTTTATGCATGGTGGTTTTTTTTTTAATTGAAAACAAATCAGACGTGGCGGGTTTAATACATGGACAACTTGTATGTTTCATTGCATCAAATTCAAATTTTGAGTTTATGCTAGAAATAAAAAAGTAGGTGGGTTTTTTTCCTAAAGCTGAATACTTGCACCCATACTCAGTGTGATGATGATTTTTTTACCATCTCTCTACTTTGGAGATATTTGAGACTTTGGGCTAGTTTGTTTCGCTTAATTACAGCCACTTTGTGAACACCCTCTTTCCAAGAGAAAAAAGAAATCCCACTTTCCCAACTTTTTCCAAAAAGCTACCGAGTCTTTCCTCATCGGAAGATACTCACTCCTACCCAAAGTTAAAAGATTCACACCACCCTTTTAGACTCTACTGACGAAAAAAGCAAATAGAATTAGGGGTCGTTTGGTACGGCAGACTGTCATAGATTAGATTAAATATTGGTACTATCTTGGATTGGCTTGGCCTGACATAAGCTAGATAACACTTGTACAGCATTTAGTGTATATTTCATTGGACTATGACTTTTTTTTTTTTTCCTGAAAAGTAAGATTTTTTAAATATATATTTTTTTACTTTTCTTCTCTCTCCATCTCTTTCTTCCTCTTTGCATCTCGTTTTTTCTTTTTTGGACGAACCTCTCTGCATCTATTTCTTCTTCTTCCCCTCTACATCTCTTTTATCTTCTTCTTCTCCATTTTCTCTCCTATTCTTTTGTCTACTTTTTTTCTCTTTTCTTTTTTTTCTAAAATTTTCTCTCCTCTTCTTCTCCATTTTCTTTCTTCTTCTCTATTTTTTTCGAAAAATTTCTCTCATATCTTCTTTCTATTTTGGGAGTTTCACTAAAACACCCAAAATGGGGGTTAAAATTATAAAAAAACCCAAGCACTATTTAAACATATAAACACACCCAAAACTCATCATTACACACACTCAAAACCCATTTATAAACACACCCAAAAAGTTGACTTTGGGGTTAATTTTGGGTGTGTTTCTATGTTTAAATAGTGTTTGGGTTTTTTTTTATAAATACATGTCTAGTATTGAGTTTATTTATAAATTTGTATTCTATTTTCTCTCTTCTTCTCTGTTTTGTTTTTAGAAAATTTTATGTTCTCTCTTCTTCCTCTTCTATTATGTCTTCTCCTTCTTGGGTGGCTGTGGTTGGTGGTCGTGGCGGGTGGTTGTATCTAGTGGTTGGGGATGGTGGTTGTGGCTGCTGCTTGGTGGGTCGTTGGTTGTGGGGCGATTGGGTGTGGTTGCTAGTTGCTAAGGTCGTCGAGACTGTTAGTCCCTCCTCCCTAGATGGGTTTAGCTAAGAACACCTAAAGAGGTATTTTTGGTGGGCCCAGTATTAGTTAATCCCACTTAAAATTAGAACATGATGAAACAAACATGGGATAAAACTTTAGCCAAACTAGTCCAAGCTTGCACGGTGTAACAAACACGCCTGAAGTCCAGCTAAGCCCTACCACGTGTTTTATATCATTAAGAAAAGTAGCTCACGCATGTATCGTTTTCTGCCTTCATGAAGTTGATGTTCAGAATGGATTTCATTAATTAATTGTCTTGTGTGTCTAATTTTCCACGCGGTTTTATTATCTTAAGTACAACTTTGACTTTTTCATTTGCTCTCTCTCTCTCTCTCTCTCTCTACTCTCTCTCTCTCTCTATATATATAATTATCTATATATATAAAGTAAAAAGCAGAAAATGGTGAAATATTTAAAATATTAAAAAATACTCTTAAATAATTCAAATATTAAGAATTAAAATTATTAATTAAATAAGAATAATATAGTAAATTCACATTTTTATTAGTAAAAAATAAAAAATAAAAGCTTCACAAAGTACTAATATCAAGCAATATATATTATATATTATATAAAGAAACAGCAACAACCCAGATCTGCATATTTACTGGGCATGACGAGCCCTGCCTTTTGTTAACCGGACGGAAGAGTTGCGGATCGACACAGATCGAACAACATCAAATGGATTTGGATCGGAGTTGATAGCGGAGGACACGTGCAACATGGAGAACCCAGTGGAGAAGCGGATTCTAGAGGAGTATAATAAGATTGATTCCTATCGCTCCAACGATTTCATGTTCCGCAAGCTCGATTGGACCTCATATGAATGGCAAGGTGCACTCAGAGGCCCTGCTGGAACTGAACTCGAGGGTGGAATTTATCATGTGCGGCTCCTGTTTCCGAAGGAATATCCATGGGAGGAACCTTCATTCATCTTTTTGACGGAAAATGGTTCCTTCAATATCGAAACCAAGGTAAGATTAAAATGGGAGCCATCAAGGAGGGTGCGACAGGCTTTTCTTGAACTCATTGAATTAATGACCACATGCCCACATTTTAATTCGGGTTCAGTAGAACACAAGGAAGAAAGGCGTCGTCTGGCCAAGAAATCTAGTGTAGCAGCCCCAAAATTTGGCACTGATGAACGTCAGAAGTTAATTGATGTGAATCATCAATATATGCAAAGGGAGACGAGAAACACTTCCCTGACACAGAGATGTGAGGTCAGCAATCCCCCTGTCAATGATTTTAACTTCTCCTCCGTTCTCTCTTGCTGCAACCCTTTATTTTTTATATTTATCTGTACAGGCTTATCACATTCATATACTACATTGAGAGAGGTGAAGCTCACCAATACAAAAATCTAATATAAATGTAATATGTCTAGCATTTTCCATCTTTCTTTAGTTTATCTTCCAAAGCTGGTAAAGTGTTTTTCCAATTTCAAAATAGTGCTGAGTTAGAACGAGGAGCACCCAGACTAGTCATAAATTACAAACCTCTCAACAATGTGTTAGAATGGATCAGATACCCGATCCCTAACAAAAGAGATCTAATCAAAAGATTGAGCAACTCAGTCGTTTTTTTCAAAATTTGACATGGAAAGTGGATTTTGGCAAATACAGATACAAGAAAGTGATAGATACAAAACTACTTTCGTTACCCCTTTTGGCCTTTACGAATGGAATGTGTCGAATGTCTGATTTGAGTGGTCTGAAGGAGTAATGTATATATATGTATATGTATATGTTTTTATTTTTAAAGCTTGGGGTGCTTTTTAGGGGTAAAAAAGGCTTGGGATTTTACAATCCAAGTTCGTCTTCCATAACATTTTGTTAGATTTGTGAGAGAGTAGTTGAAGGAGGAGGGTGGCAGAGGTGTTACTGAGGAGAGAGAGAGAGAGAGTTGGGATAATGAGCTGGATTGCTGACCTGACATCGCCTTCTCAGGGAAGTTTTTCTCCCAGCTGACTGAGGTAGCCAATAGAAAGCAGCACGGCGCAGGCGGCTATGTCGCCAACGTTGTCGGGAATGCATTTAATGCTACCAATTCCGACGGGGTAGGAATTTTGGGTTCTATGAATGAGTACCTCTACAAATCCCCCAAAAAAGCAAAACTTTTTAGCATATTTTTTACTCTTCTCTAAAAAGTTTTGCTAAAAAGTTTTAATTTTTAGCATGACTAGCCCTACCTATCTATCAACAGACACCGCCGACTATGTTTCCTCATCTCTTTGCTTCGTATTTTGAGAATAATTGTATATTTAAAGTTTTGTTAACAGGAAGAGGTGGTTGTGGTTGTGGATCGAGTCGGACCAACACAGATGGAATCGGATCGGAGTGTGATTGTGGAGGACAAGTGCAACATAAATAACTCAGGGGAGAAGCGGATTCTAGATGAGTATGATGACATTAAATCCAAACCCTCCGATGATTTCACGTGCCTCAAGCTGGGGTGGAAGAATTATGAATGGCAATTTGCAATCAGAGGCCCTCGTGGAACTGAATTTGACGGTGGGATTTATCATGGGATGGTCACGTTTTCAGAGGGATACCCATCGAATCCTCCTTCAATCGCGTTTTTGACGAAAAATGGTTGCTTCGATATCCAAACCGTGATCAGCTTAAGTCGATTCTCGAACTGGCAGCCATCATTGAGTGTGCGAGAAATTTTAGTTGCATTTATTGAGGAAATGGCTACCAATCCAAATGGTGGATTGGTTCCAGGAGAAAACAGTAGGGAAGAAAGGCGTTCTCTGGCCATCCAATCTCGTGCAGTAGCCCCAAAATATGGTACTTTTGCCCGTCAGCAGGTAATTGATGAGATTCATCAATTTATGCTAGACAACACACCTCTTTCTGTTCCGCAAGTGATCCCTGTGCCCTCACAGGCCTCCAACGGTACAGGCGGCGGCTCTTTCGTCAACAGCATCGTTGGGAATACATTTATTGTTAACGGATCCGAACGTGTTGGAATTTTTCGAGTTGAGAATTATGGAGGTTTTTTTGGGGGGGTGTTTTTGGTCATACTCTGTAGCGTAGTCTTTCTTTTTATTGGTCGCTCGTCAACAGCGTAGGAATGCTGCCTCCCATTCTCCTCATCTTCCTCTTTCTCTGTCTCATTGTTGACGGTGGGTTTCGCGATTCAGAAGAGAGAGATGAGAGCTAGACGATGGTGAGAGCAATGAGAGAGGAAGAGAGAACTGCGAGAGAGAGCTGGGCAGTATTTTGCGTTATTCTTATTTCCCCTTTGTTTTTCTCTTTCTTCCTTGACTGGTTGTAGTTGAGTTATAGTGGTTATTCACAGCCATAGATTTCAAGTGATCCAATGGCTTAGATTTAGACGCATCCATACACTGGCGCACCGTAGAATTTTCTCATATATATAATCCCTTCTTTCCGCCTTTTCTGACCTGTCCGAATAAATTTTTTTTAATATACATTTCATAATTTATCTATTTGTATAAAGCAAAAAGTAGAGAATGGTGAAACATTCAAAATACCAGAAAATGCCTTTGGTTAATGCAAACATTAAGAATTAAAATTATTAATTAAATGAAGATAATATGGTAAATTCACACTTTAAAAAAAATTAAAATTAAAAGAAACATCAGATAATGGATTCTATTTTTATGAAATACAATTATCCATTATCTTTTTAATTCTAAAAAAAATTAAATTCTTTTAAAAAAAGCCTCTCGCAGGCGCGGAAGCGCATGCAGAGAGGCTAGTATAAATAACACAAAAAGCAGAGAATGGTGAAACATTCAAAATATCAGAAAATACCCTTAGTTAATTCAAACATTAAGAATTGACATTATTAATTAAATAGGGATAATATGGTAAATTCGCATTTTTATATTAAAAAATTAAAATTAAAAACAAAATATATCCTATTTTTATTGAACATAACTACCCATGTTATTTTTTCTTAATTTTAAAAATAAAATAAAAACTAAAAAAGAAAACCACATGTGCCCAGGGGCTAGTGTATATATATATATATATATATATAAAGCAAAAGGTAGAGAATGGTGAAACATTCAAAATACCAAAAAAATGCCCTTTGTTAATCCAAATATTAAGAATTAAAATTATTAATTAAATGATGATAATATAGTAAATTCACACATTTTCATATTTAAAAAAAATTAAAATTGAAAGAAAAATCAGATAATAAATCCTATTTTTATGGAACACAACTACCCATTATTTTTTTTAATTCGAATTTTTTTTAAAAAAAAAAAAAGCCTCTTGCAGGCGCGGAAACACGTGCGGAGAAGCTAGTATATATAAAACAAAAGGTAGAGAATGGTGAAACATTCAAAATGCTAGAAAATGCTCTTAATTAATGCAAACATTAAGAATTAATAATTAAATGATGATAATATGGTAAATTCATATATTATAAAATAAGTGTTGTTAATCGAACTCTAAAATTAACTAAGTATATCATACTATCAAATTATTTCTTGAATTACTAATTTAATCTAATATAAAATAACTAAAAGATATATTAAATTATAAAACAAATATAATTTTAATAAATATACTATACTCATCATATTCAACTCACATATTATTTACTAGGTATGAACTTTTTTCTTTTATGAATTATGAAATTTTATTGAGGCACTCTGCTCTCCAACCAAAACAAAAGAGAAAGCAGAAGCGCTAAAAACATTTGGTCTTGTTGCATGCATTGCTGTACCCAAGACATTTGGTCTTTAGCTTTTTAGTTGAATTACTTAAGGCCCGTTCGGTATCATTTTCAAGGGCCATTTTCTGTTTTTGTTTTCTGTTTTCACGTGAAAACGTGTTCGGTGGGTTGTTTTGAGAAACAAGCTGAAATTGTTTTCTGAGAATGAAAATGAAAGTATGAGTAAATGTTGAAAACGCCAGAAAGTCGTTTTCGTTTTCGGCGTTTTTGTTTTCAGTCTCTCCGAATCAAAGCCAACTCTCCTCCGTCACTTGAGCAAACAATCCAATCAAATTATATCCAAAACAATCAAATCTCCTCCTTCCAACCATAATCAGCCCCAAAATTTCTAGAAAAAAAAACTCATAATCACACAAATCTGCAACTAAGAAAAAAAGACAGAGAGGAAGAAGAAAAGAAAAAAAAGGAGAAGAAGAAGAAGAAGAAGAAGAAGAGAAAGAAGAAGAAAAGAAAAAAGAAGAGAAGCAACAAGAAGAGAAAGAAGAAGAGAAGGAGGATTAAGTGAAAAAGAGGGAAGGAAGAAGAAGAGAGAAAGTAGAGAAGAGGAAGAAGGAAACAAAAAGGAACGGGTCTGGGAAGGAAAGAGGAAGAATAGAGGAAGAAAGAAAGAAAGAAAAGGAGAAAAAGGAGAAAAGAAAAAAGAAAAAAGAAAGGAGAAAAAAGATAGTTTTATCTTTTAAAAAACAATAGAATTTTTCATTTGTTAAATTATACATTTTTAAAAATATTTTTTCAAAACAGAAATTAGCAAAAATACCCTTGAAAAATAATTCACATAATATTATTCTCAATTTGTACTACCAGACATATTTTCATTGTTTATAATAATTTTGGCCTCTAAAAATATCAGAATTTTAAAAAAAGTAGAACTGAAATTAGTAAAAATACACATGAAAAACAATTGTACTACCAGACACGTTTTCATTGTTTTTGTTTTCTAAACATGTTTTCTAATTATCTACCAGACGCATTTTTATTTCCTAAAAATGCAAATTTGTTTTCTTGTTTTCATTCTCTGAAAATATTCTCAGAAAACATTCTCCGAAAACGTTACCAGACGGGCCCTTATTTTTCTATTTGTTTATGTGTCTTGTTTCTGCTCATGGCTGTACCCATGAGTGGTACAAGCTAAGCACAGGCAGAAACAAATAGAAAAATAAAATTTAAAAAAGAAAAAGAAAAAAGACAGAAACAGAATCTGGTCATATGAAAATAAAAAGATTGCTTATGCTAATTAGGTTTTGTTTTTTAATATCTTTATTCCAGTCGTTTTTTGAGGCGGTAGGACGGACTATAAATCCGGTGAATATGGAGCGACGAGACTTCTTGAGTTCTTCCATTTTTTATACCTTAATTTGAGCTCTTCCAATTCTTTTTTTTTATATCTTCTCCAGAAGATGCTTCATTTTGAGCTCTCAGTGTGTCACATCTTACTGCAAAAATTATTATCTCAAGAATAACTTCATTCAAACTTTGAACAATAAACATTTCCTATAACAAGCAATAAGATAAAACATTGGAGGGAAAAATCATCAAGAAACAAGATATGTATTTAGATTAGCATGGAGATACTGTCCCGTCATGTTTCTTCCAAACTCTTAAGGTTCCCTTTCCATGCTTCTTTCGCTGATCGGTGATGATGAGTATTAGCAAATTCAAGCATTTATTCTAAGCTCTTGATCTGCTGCAATGCAAGCCGTAGTTAAGAGCAGCATCTCTGTAAAAAGTGTAGAACTGAAAGATAAAGTACACAAGCCCAAGCTCTATTCAAAGTCTACATGCTGCACTTACCCAAGCCCAACCCATTATAATTTCTTACCGTTGCAGAGAAACTTCTAGAAATAGTATCTAATTAGAATAAGTAATATTCTATGAGCTAGGAATGAGCTGTAACTCTTATCTTCCTCTTCCTGTGCTTGCGAGTAAGCCAAATCCCCGTAGCCCAATAAATTGTTGCAACCGAAACCTTATCATAGTTGTCAATGAATTAAATAATTATCTCTAATCTTAATATCTTATTAGAGCATCTCTCAAATATCAAACATCAAATTTAAATTTGATGGCTGATGTGGCAATTTGACATCTTACACAACTTTACACTCCACTTGATATGTCAAATTAAATTATTATTTTATTACATTTTAGTGTTAATTCATTTTTAATTATATATATATATATATATTCATTTGACATCTTGCTTTTGAGATGTCAAAAATAATATCTCAACTTTCAGCCTTCATTCTACATCAGCTTTAACATATCGGTTTGAGTGATGTGAGATATTATTTCTAACTGTTAAATGTCTATGTGGCACGTTTGACACATCAGTTGGAGATGCTCTTAGATCCAATACAATCAACCCTTTTTAAATCAATTTCATGTTTGTCAATTTGTAGCCTGATTGCGATACATCTCATCCGATTCCCATCCCAACCTTCTTCACATCTGCAAGGGAGACCATCATCAACGAGAAAATATATATGGATCTTGGGGTAGTCACCGAAAGGTTGAGAAAGTTGAAGAAGAGCAACAAAGTGTGTGTGTGAGAGAGAGAGAGGGGACGAACCAGAGCAGGCAGGCAGTGCCGTGGCTATGCTTTTTTTAATCTTTCGATTTTTTTATTTTTTATAATTTTATTTTAAAGAGTAAAAATTAGGTTCAAGTTTGTCTGTAAAATAAAGTTTGAGTCTTTAAAAAATAAAGACACATGACATATTTTAAGAAGAAGCATTATCAACTGGCATAGTAATACGATATTATTCTATAATTTATCCTTATATTGTAGCAGTATTTATTGACCAGTAGGTTATCTTTGAGAAAAACTTAGTTGCTTGTTGTCATAGTGTTATGCTACCCATTTCATGCGAGTCCTTTTCTTGAACGAGTCAATGAATGAATACTATTTTCTTTTCTGTCTACCCTCTTTCATGGCCAAATGTCACTTTTTTATATATTCACTTTTGGACTTTTAGATTCAATTTAGTCATTTTTACCATTGTAATTTCATGATTATAGCAATTTAAAAATAATTAAAAATTTATAAATTTATAAATAAATCTAATCTTAGATATGTATTTATAGAAAAAATTCAAACACTATTTAAATATAAAAATACACCTAAAATTGTATATTTTTTCGATGTGTTTATAAATAGGTTTTGAGTGTATATAATGATAGATTTTGGATGTATTTATAAAGTATTTTGAATGTTGAATTTTTTTTATAATTTAAACCCTCATTTTGGATGTTTTAGTTAAATCCCCTTAAAAAATTTCATCGACTTTATTCACACCGTCTGGGTATTTATGTTCAATTATGCCATTTCTACCGTTTTATTCGAGCTGAATAAAAATAGCGTAATACCGCCGCATTCTCCCATTCTGCAATCTCCGCTTCTCGACTTGGCTTTCTTGCACTCTCTACCCTTCCGCTTTCATCTCATGCTCGATTTCCCCTGTTCAGTTCTTTCTCAGCCAAAATCAAGTAGAATTGGATCGCTACCCAGCGATGAATCGGATTCTAGAGTATTCTGAGATTAAATCCAAACCATCCGACGATCGAGTCGGATCGACGCAGATCGATCAAAATCAAATTAGATTGGGTCGCTACGGAGGGTTGAAGCGGATTCGAGAGAATTATATTGAGATTGAATCCAAACCCTCCGACGATCGAGTCGGATCGACGCAGATCGAACAAAATCAAATTAGATTGGATCGCTACCGAGGGTTGAAGCGGATTCGAGAGGAGTATTATCAGATGCAATCCAATCCCTCCCACGATTTCAAGTGCGGCCTGCTCGACCTGAACCCATATGAATGGCAATTTGGAATCAGAGGCGCTAGAGGAACTGAATTCGAGGGTGGGATTTATCATGGGCGGATCCAGTTTCCGGAGGAGTACCCATTGAAGCCTCCTTCATTCACGCTTTTGACGGAAAATGGTCGCTTCAAAACCCAAAACAAGATCAGGATAAGGCGACTGAATGATTGGCAGCCATCATGGAGGGTGCGAGATGGTTTACTTGCACTTATTGCTGAAATGCCCACCTACCCAGATGGTGATGATGAATTGGATTCAGTAAAATACAGTAAGGAAGAAAGGCGTGCCCTGGCCATAAAATCTCGTGAAGCAGCCCCAAAATATGGCACTTCTCAACGTCAGAAGCTAATTGATGAGATTCATGAATATATGCTGAGCAAGGCACTACCTTTTCCTCAACTCCAACTGAGCAGCCCCTCACAGGCCTCCAAAGAGCATGAGCATAAGCATTACCGAATTTATGGAAACAAAATGAAGCATGGCAGCGGCAGCAGAAACGTAGGCATCTTCGATTTTGGGAATAGATATACTGCTATCGACAGCAAGAGTGTAGGAATTTTACATTCTATGAATGAGGCCCCCAAACTCCCTGTTCCTGTTCCTCAACTCCAACTGACGAGAAACACTCCCATTCAGGTCAGCAATCCACCTGTCAATTATTTTAACTTCTTTTTACCTCTTCTCTTCCGTTCTTTCTCGCTGCAACCTTCTTCTTTGTATTTTATTTATTTAGTCTATCCATGAACAAAACAGAAAAAAGAGTTTAAAAATCTGAGGAAGAGAACTGCGATTTCGAGGAAGTGGCTTACATGGGTTTGACAGAGAAGATATATATGGATATATGTATATATATTTACGTATTTATTTTACTTAGGGTCCTTTTAGGGGTAAAAAATGCTTGGGTTTCTACAATCCAAGTTTGTCCTTCATAACAATTTGTAGGATTTGAGATAGAGTAGTTGGAGGAGGAGGGTGGCAATGGAGCCAAAAGAAAGCAGCAGGGCACAGGCGCCTATGTCGTCAATGTTGTTGGGAATACATTTATTAATGCTACTAATTCCGACGGGGTAGGAATTTTGGGTTCCATGAATGAGTACCTCTACAAATCCCCCAAGAAAGCAAAACTATTTATCATATTTACTCTGCATGACTAGCCCTACCTTTAAAACAGACACCGGCTATCTTTCCTCATCTCTTCGCTTCGTATTTTGAGAATAATTGTATATTTAAAGTTTTGTTAACAGGAAGAGGTGGTTGTGGATCGAGTCGGATCAACGCAGATGGAATTGGATCGGAGTGTGATAGTGGAGGACAAGTGCAACATAAAGAACTCAGGGGAGAAGCGGATTCTAGAGGAGTATAATGAGATTGAATCCAATCCCTCCTACGATTTCAAGTGCCTCATGCTCGATTGGAACCCATATGAATGGCAATTTGCACTCAGAGGCCCTAGTGGAACTGAATTTGAGGGTGGGATTTATCATGGGCTGGTCCAGTTTTCGGAGGGATACCCATCGAAGCCTCCTTCAATCAAGTTTTTGACGAAAAATGGTCGCCTCAAAATCCAAACCGACATCAGCTCAAGGCTATTATCGAACTGGCAGTCACCAAGGAGCGTGCGAAATGCTTTACTTGCACTTATTGAGGAAATGCCCACCTACCCAGATGGTGATGATGAATTGGATTCAGTAGAATACATTAGGGAAGAAAGGCGTGCCCTGGCCATAAAATCTCGTGAAGCAGCCCCAAAATGTGACTCTCCTAAACGTCAGAAGCTAATTGATGAGATTCATGAATATATGCTAAGCAAGGCACCACCTGTTCCTCAACTCCAACTGAGCAGCCCCTCACAGGCCTCCAAAGAGCATGAGCATGAGCATTACCAAAATTATGGAGCCAAAAGAAAGCACGGCGGAGGCTACACAAACGTAGGCATCTCCAATTTTGGGAATACCCTTGATGCTATCGACAGCAGGAGTGTAGGATTACATTCTATGAATGAGGCCCTCAAACCCATGATAAAAGAAAGAGTACCTTTTCGGGTTTTCTATTTTTTGTCAGTACTTATTGGTTTGTCGTCAATACTTTTTGGATTTTGGTCATTCTGAGGGTGATGAACTGAGGTGATCAAGTCTGTAGCGTTTGCGTAGGCCTCTTTTTTTGGTAGCTTCTCCTAATTTAGGAAATTAGTAGTAATGTAATTAATTGAAAATGGGCATTCTAGTTTACCACCGTGATTTCATATACTTTGTCCTCATAAGATGAGAGTAATTAATGAATAATTCAATTCTGTTATGTAACTAAGGGATTTGTAGAGATAATTTAGAGATAAACATAGAAATGCTATTATCAAGCTTGTTCTTATTCATCTTCATTTATAGGCTTACAACATATGGAGAGTGAGGCTCGTTTATGCTGATGTTAGGCCTGATAGTATTAATCAGACCTTAATTACCCTTTATCAGGCGGTATTTATTTCTTCTTGCCTTCAATTTTTTTATACTGGTCAGTACTTTGAGGGTTCCTTAATAAACTGCCCGGTAATTAAGTCTCTAGCGTGGGCCTTATTTTTTATGGTAGCTTCTCGTTCTCCTAATGGAAATTAGTAGTGGCAAACTGAAGGCAATGGAGTATTCTTCTTTCATATTAAGTTAAACCCTCTCCTACCTCTTGAGGCTGTGTCTTACTTTACATTTTCTGGACAGTGTTGATAAACAATGGGTTCAGTCAGCATTACAAAAGAATACACGATTTACTATGACCACACCCTCCACCTTTGAATCTGGAGGCAAGCGGTTGGTTAGCTGGAGCAGCTAGTTTCCGTGCAAAGAATTCTCTACAATCTCACTTATGTGGTCATGAAAATGAGAATCTTGAGAAAAGAGACGTCGCTGATCCTGAAGCATCACTCGCTGGGCTAGGAGGAACATCTCCAGATGCTCGGTACGCTTGTTGACACTTCTGTATCTGCATTAGTATATAAATGTGCACAAATTAGAATGGAATTGACAATCTAGGAAAACCACAAGGGAAGTGTGATAGTTTCGGAGCATCATAGACAACTCACTAACTACAACTGCAACATAGGAGATAAGAATTTCACCTCATCCGGACTAAATTGAAGAAGCATACCAACTACAGGTAATAGGGCCTCCACTTCACCTATTTGAGTAATAAAAACAATCAGAAATTCCACATCACCTATTGGACGACTTTGACTGTTACATCAGTCTATAATAGAAATACCTGTTTCAAGAAGCTTTAAGATTACATTTTTCAGGTATGTCATATCTACTCCTTCCCTCTTCTGCGTTCTTTCCATGTTCCGAAGCTCAGCCTTCAACATAGATTCCTGCATATATGTCACACCATCGCCAGTTCATCAGCAATTTCATTTTCAGATATGCTCAATTCATACACATTCTATTATTTACTACAACTTTCAAAAAGAATTTCCAAACAATTGAAATCAATCAAGCCAAAAGAACAGACGCTAAAATCTGCAAAAATCCAGTCTTCTTGATACCTGTTGGCTATGCAGCCGATTCTCACGCTCCAGCTCCTCAATTTCCTCCTGAGTTGACACAAAAAAAAGGTATCAGAACTGACCTAAAGAACAGTAGAATTCAAGATGAGGGATTACACACTTGAAGCGCTAAAATGTGCCGCTGTGACTGTGCTAGTTCTTCCTCTCTTTGGGCTTGCTGCCTTGCCAAAATCTGAAATTCATATTATAACAGTGTATGAACACATTTGGATGCACAGCATGAAAAGGTAAAAGCCAGTGCACAAGACTGCAATAATAATAACTCGTACACTTGAACTCATAATAAGATCTTAAAGCCCCCAAGTAGCCTGATTACTATAAATATCAGCACTCTAGACCATCATTATACCATTAAGGTTCATCACAGCAAAAGTGAAGCACCTAGACATTCTAATTTTATCAAATCCAGTTGTCTTATTTTGAGATCACAACTACGAATCTCTAGCATAACCAGCCATAATATTATAATACTCCGGGTACAATAACCCAAAGTTTTCCCTCTCTGTTTTTTTTTTCTTTTTTCTTGGCAAGACTAGAGAATAAATATAACAATTAAAAGCAAAGTGCAAAAACAAAAAGCTCCCAGTTGGGTGTTACATGGCAAGAAAAATCTAGAGAGAGAATATAATTACCAGAATCTGCTGTTCTGCAGCAGAGTTGCTTATACTTGATGCGTCATGTTTATACATGCCTGATTATACCAGTGTGAAGAAAAAGAAATGTTAGAACTCCACTAGGTACCCCAACGGGTAAAAAACACCATAGTTCCAGTAATAAAGAAACTCTTCTTCTAACTGGAACAAATAATAAGAAATTGTACTCAGGATCCTCCTACCTGTGTTACAATTATCGTTATGATCAGCCTGAGGTTATACGCCGCAATGTCAGGACAACAGATTACAAATACAGAAGAAAGAAATTTATCAGAAAATTGAAATGTAAGGATAAAGTTTAGATGTCACTTAAGAAAAAGGAACATACTTGTGGTCTTGAGTCCAATGACTGATGAAGTTTCTTGTTATCATCTATAAGTCTAGAAATTTCTTTGTCCTTCTCCTCAATCATTCTATCAGCAAGATCACGAAATGAACTGTGCTCCTCCTAAAATGATGAATACAATTAAGAGAATCCCAAAATGTAAACACTGTATAGGCGCAAAAAGAGAGAGATTAAAGCAAATTACCTTCAATTTTTTATACTGCAATTTAAGCTCTTCTAATTCTTTTTTTATATCTTCTCCAGAAGATGCTTCATTTTGAGCTCTCAGTGTGTCACATCTTACTGCAAAAATTATTATTTCAAGAATAACTCCATTCAAATTTTGAACAATAAGCATTGCCTATAACAAGCAATAAGATAAACATTGGAGGGAAAACCATAAAGAAACAAGATATGTAATTAGATTAGCATGGAGATAGTACCTTGCCATGTTTCTTCCAAACTTTTAAGGTTCACTTCCCATGCTTCTTTTGCTGATCGGTGATGATTATTAGCAGATTCAAGCATTGACTCTAAGCTCTTGATCTGCTGCAAGGTGTCACTAAGAGCAGCATCTCTGTAACAAGTATGGAACTGAAAGATCAAGATCATTACGTAACACTTTACAGTAGTATATTACCTAACTTGTAAACAACTAAATGATACTCCATGAGGAGTGGAAGGCTTTTAGACAACAAACAAGACCAAACTACACTGGGGAAGGAACAGCCACCATGACGCAAGTAATTATGGTCATGAAATGGTGACTAGTTGACTACAAGTCTAAAACAGCTAATTGTTGAAATTGGTTGCATCAGAGAATTGAGCTTTTATGTACTTCTGGTTAAACACATGTTGGTGCCTTATTTTAAGAACCATCTTGCCATTTTTCTATTACAATTACTAATAAATTATAATTACTTTGCCCTTTTATGAGGAAAATATATCTATACCCTTTCTGGATTAGGAAAATTTCGAAACCAATCCTAAATTTGGGCCCCTGGGCGAAGCTCACTACAGCAGATTCAGCAATAAATTTACCTTTCTGCTATTTCTTTGTCATGATTAGCCAAGGCATTCTGAAGATCTTGAAGGGCCTTATCCCTTTCAGCACACACAAAAGATAATTCCTTTTCAGCCTCCTACAGAAAGAAAAAAAAAAATATATATATATATATATAAGTAATTAATAAGGATTGGATGATGCGCATGTCAGTTCAAGATTTTACTTCATGCTAAAAAATAAGATTAATTGCAAGTACACACTTTTAGTGCTTCCTCAAGAGCTTTGACTTGTTCAGAGTCTTTAGCTCCAGCTAGCTCTGCATCCTTCTTCTGGAGAAGTGCATGAGCACGGCTTTTGTAAGAAGAAAACTCACGTTCAAGGCAGTTGATCTGCAGGATATAATAGGTAGAACATATGAGGACAGAAAACAGATCAATAAATATTTGGATGTAAGCAACTAGATCTTCTCTAAATTTAACCCCATTGAGAAAAGGGGGGAGAAAATAAATTTAAACCTCCTCCTTGACAGCTGCAAGTTCAGCATCCCTTGCATCAAGCATTCGTGTTTTTGCAGACACCTCTGATTCCAGCTGGCCTGCCCAATAGGAAAAGCATGTGACATTGATATAAATATATATACACATCTAAACAGATGAAAATTCAGTAAGGAATATAAATATACTTCTCATTTTGGCTACTTCAATTTCAGCACATATCCGGTTGCTCTCAGCAATTTGGAGCTTTGTGTTCAGTGCCCTGGAGGCAGCTTCCCAGCTTTCCTTTTCTTTCTCCTGGAAGAATTATATATTTCTATGATATATCAAAATTAGAAGCAGCGAATCCCAAAAGTACAGAAGCAGTAAAGTAACCAGGCAAGGATAATGGTGACATTGATTAGAGGCACACAAAAAACCACTCTCAGTTGACAAATGGGCGTCAAATAAGGAACTACACATAATGGTCTGGCAAATAAGAGATCCTGGAAGCCATAATTCATACATGGTCATGCTTTAGGTGAGTAAGGTCTCCTTTTAGAGTTTCCACAGCTGCTCTAAGCCTTGCTGCCTCACCCGTTGATGCTGCTTCCATCTCTGCAATCTTAGACTCTTTCTCCGCAACTAGCATCTGGAGAATTACATTTACTCATTAGTCTGATCCATTTGCAAGTTACAGAAATAGTACATGACTAAACTATGCAATGGAGTAAAATTATTATCCCAAAAAGAAGCAAAGATATAAGATAACGCAACCACTAATCCACTTCTACTTTATTGTCTTCTCATTCTGATGCCAACTTTCCAGCCCCTTATATTTTAATGGACCTTATACCTTTCTTTTATTCCAACAGTGGGCTGCAATTGAGAGGAGCACAAGACTCAGGCTTCACATGACTTGAGTTGTTTATGGTTATCTATTTAAGCCACGGCCTAAGCTCGAACATGCTAATCAGTTCCTAGCATATTCATGAACAAGAAGGTTGAATTATTCCTAATGTAATTACGGGCCAAATACTGATAGATATAAGCTTGTTGAAAAGGTTACAAAAGTATCTAAAATTTGGGGGTCTTGGTTATTCACTTAGTACTTAAAAGGACTTACTGTTTTGTTGAGATTTCAAGTCCAACTCAGGATTATTAGTGACGTATTGGGAGTGAAAACATCTACCAATCAAGCTTGTAAACATGCCCACGCCCACTCACACATTAAGGAACTAAACTTGAAAATGCACTGGATGCTCAATCCAAAATTACAAAAACCAAAGTAAGATTTCAAGCTAGCCCCAGATTAACTTCAGCCCTATCTTCTTTTCTTTTTCCTTTTGTAAATGGAATTTCAAACCTATCTATAAGTTGTTAAAAAAGGAGTGAACATTATAATCAATACTCTCACCTGCAGTGAAGAAATAGTTTCAGTTGCTTTATTTCTATCAGATGATGCATCAGCAAGCTGCGTTTCCAAACTCTCTAAGTTCTGAAGAAAACAGAGACCGTAATTAAAGCACAAATTTCTTGGTGAATGTAATAGCAGGGAAAGAAATACACCATTCTTTTATTATAAACAAATAGGAATACTAAATTAGGCATACAAATGCAAATACACCTTATGATGTTTAGCAGAGAGTTCAGCTATTGAAGCTTGCCTTTTTTCATCAGCAGCCTGCAGCAACCCTCGCATGTCTTCCAACATCTGAGATAAATATAAGTTAACATTAACATAGATATTCTTTTCTGTTTATTTCTTAATAGATATCTCATGTTAATGAATAATACAGAACCTCCCAAAGTATAAGCATAAACAGTCATACCTGTTCCTTCTCCAAAATTGTAAGTTGTAATGCCTCAATAGCAGTCTCCTTTGGTTGCAATTGGTGCCGTAATTCCTCAATGTTGTCTCGTAGTCTGAATGTCAAGAACATAGTTACAGTTAAGATAATAAATGGCAAAAGCAGTTATGAGTCTATCAACACATGCATAAATGGGTCATGGTAGGAAGTTAACTGAGAATTTACTTATTGTTTGCACTTCTTAGTTGTTGTCTCTCTGCATCAATTGCTTTCAGTGCATCATTTGCTTGTTGCCTTGTTCTATCCAGCTCTTGCTGCAATGCTGACTGTTGGGACAATGCTCGCTCAGAAGCTTCATTTACTTCACGAAATCGAGCCTCTAGGTCATCTTTTTCCTAAAGAAAAAAGACAATAGCCACCAGCTTCCGAACTTAATTTCCACTTAAAAAGACTTCTCCACTACGTATGTTGAACAATCCGGAAAGAATTTACCTTTTGAACATCTTGAATACGCTGTTTTGCTCGTTTGTGAAGCCTGGTGAATTTCAAGTCGAGATCAGAATATTTCTCTTCCCGTTCTTTTATTTCTTGATCCAACTTCTGTTGAGCTACACAAAATGAACAGCAAACAGTGCAATACATTCAGATTACGAAAGATAAACTTATGAATTACGATAATTGGATATTATCCACTACATTTTCCCAACAGAAACAACAAATTTACCAATGCAGAGACATAATCAGACCTTCAGCGAGCTTTGCAGAGAGCTGTTGAGCTTTAGAATCTGCTTCCGAGTGTGCTTCCTGAAGATGCTTCAAAGCCACTTCAGCTGCAGCTTGTGTTTGTTTCTCTTCCAAAAGCTCCACATTCAACGATTCAATCGTTTGACGCAGTTGCTCCACCTCTTCAGATTTACCGCCTTCCGTCTCCCTGGGCTCTGTTTGTTGGAAATTCTGAAATCCTTCGAACTGAGACTTCAGGAATTCGTTCTGCAATTTGAGCTCCATGACCAGCTGAACAAGCTGATCATGAGCATCGCTCGAGCCCGGGCCTCCATTCTCCAACTCGAGATCTCCATTGGCATTGCCTCCGTGCTTCTGCGGCTTCGATTTCTCTTCCATTTGAGCCTCAACCTCCGTCGACATTGCTAACGCTTGGTTTCAAGTTTCAACCTGAGAGAGACAATCACGACAATCAAAACGGTGTGTATCAATGCTGTGTGGATCTCATCAGATCCCAAACCAAACAAACAGCGAAGCCAATTCAGTGAAATCAACGCTGCTGAAATTCAAAGCAACAACCAGAGACGGTACCGTTTTGGTAGATGGAGAATTGGAGATCTATCCAGATTATTGAGATCCCGCCCTGGTGTTGCTCGGCTGGAGGTCTGAGTCTAACGCTTAGCCAAGCACACAGAAGAGAGAGGCGCAGACACAGGGCGGGACTGAGAATGGTAAACGTCGCCGTTTTTGACACGGACGTGCATCTGCTGTTAGTCTATATCTCTACCGGTGGAGCGGGAGGACGTGGCCGATGCCTCCGTCAAAAGAGCCGTAATTACTTTATTAACGGAACTTTTCACGTGAAGCCCAAACTCTCAAAATTTGCAGGCCTAGAGCCCATATCTCTTATTAGGCCAGTGCTAGTGCTGGCTTTTCTTTAATTTTTTTTAAATTAATTAATTTTAAAGAACACATTCTGTTTTTTTTCTTTTTTTTAAGTACAAACTAAAAGGGTGGGGAATTTCACACACACACAACTAAGATGCCATGTGGTTTCGAACTTGTGATATATAGTCTGTAAATCTAAGCCATTTTCCACATTCTTTTAAAAAAATGAAAATTAAATAATTTTAAAGAACACATTCTTCTAAAAATATAAATTATGAATTTGGGTATGAAAATTAATTTTCGAGTGTGGCTCCAGTGAACTTGAAGTAAATCATATCTGCTTCTAGCAAAAAGTGTGCATTAAATATGAAAAGGAGTACAATGGTCACCCACCAACAGGCTCAAATAAAATGACCCAAAACTCCTATCAACTTTTTTTTTTAAATCTGATGCATTCAATATTTCAATGCAGTTCAGTTTGATTATAACTTACAAGAGCATAAAATGAAAAACTAAGGTGGATCCCCAACCAGCTTTAACTTCTCCCCCATCTGATTCATGGGTTCATTCTTTCTGGGTCATGGCTACTTCTAAAGAAATTTGCTGCTGGTTCTTCTCCCCAATTTGTTATGGGGGGTACAAAGAGAAGAAATCAGGTACTAAGCTTAACATCTCCTGTTCTTTAAACAACTGGTATGAGAACCTCAACATCAGCATGGATAGCAGAGAGTGGACATGGTTAATGAAATTGTATAAGACAGGCTGATACAATAAGTCACTTTCGTCTCCAAACACCACAAACTGCCTTCACATTGGCAATTTAGTAGTGGCTGAGATCTATGCCTAGCTACATCTCTTAAGTGCTCCTATGAGTTCTTTCTGAACTGTGACCTCCTGAAAACAAGTAGCAGATCTTCAAGGACAAAATTCAAATAAAGCTCTGGAAACAGTTTCTTGAGAACCATTTGGAATTAAAAAAATTACCAAAAAAACACACTAACCAGCAGATCTTGTATCTCTACATTGAACAGCTACATGTTCGAAAAACTCTTTGGAGGCATCTGCAGATTCACAACAAACCTAAATGTAAGGCATGATAATATAATTGAACCAAGCAAAGACTAATCTTAATTTTAAAAAACATGATGAACAGAGGACATTCAACCCATGGTACTATAGAATGTGAAGTAGCCTGCCTGTAGCATATAACTTGACTTCAATCCCTAATGGATATGTGATTTCCTTACAACTTTCTGGTCTTAATCTCAATATCCTAGTTCTAAGTCAAATGGATAAGACAAATGCAAGACCTCAGCGGAATGTGAACATTTTTTATTTGTAGGCCCTGCTCATATGACATACCATGCTTCATTGTTAACGAAGGATCTTTTTCATCTACATATCCAATCACCTTTGCTGGTATTCCTGCCACCATGCTTGAGAACCAGAGAAAGAAATGTCACTTTCCTAAGAGTACGTATTCAAGAATCATTACTATACTGAAAATCAGGAGCTACTTTCTACCTGCGTGGAGGGACATCTTTCAACACAAGGGAACCAGCAGCTATCATTGCTCCTTGACCTATTTTTATATTCCCGAGTATTGTTGCACTGGCTCCAATTAGTGCACCATCACCTACTTTTGGGTGACGATCACCAATTTCCTTCCCAGTTCCCCCCAAAGTTACACCCTGTCAATAAAGTGCAGCACACATAGTTCTTTGTCATCAACAATTACTTATCAGTACAATAGAAGCGAACCCATGAGTTGAAACAAAAGAGAATTATGGAATGAACTTACATGCATCAATGAAACTCTGTTTCCTACAACAGCAGTTTCACCAATAACCACACCTGTACCATGATCCAGCAGTATTCCCTCTCCAATTTTTGCAGCTTTAGAAAAACCATCAAAGAGAAATTATATCAAATGTTAGTTTTACCAAACAAATCAAGTATTGTACATAAATATTCAATTACTCTAGATTTGACCAAACCTTTCACTTGCTTGAACATGTTCTTTGTTCCATAAGCAAGTGCTAAAAACAATAAAAGAATTAACATGTTTATTTACTTGCTTTAATTATTTTTTAGCATTTGGATTAAATTGTGCTAATGAATGACACAATAGCAAGTGATCCAGTGAAACTCTATGTCAATGAGAAGCACAATCTTTCGTGTTGGGGGGACCATGTCAGAAGTTTCCAAAATCACATCGATTATATGTTTAAAAGATTCCACCATTGTTCTTATAAAACTCAATATTATCATGTCTACCGATAGCAGTGCAGAAATGAAAATACCTGGGTGAATGTCCACTCCAAAGACCTAGGATAAAATGGTTATAAGATTAGAAGGAGAACAGAAAAGCACAAACCTGTAAAACAGGTAGTAATGGTCATCGAGCATCAACTGAAAAGGAAAATACCTCACTAATTCGGCTTTGTAATGCCAAGGCCAAAACCTTGCGTCCTTGACTCCACAATGAATGAGCTACTCGATGCACTTGCAAAGAATGGTAACCCTGCAAAAGTAAAGTCACAACATCACTTATGCACTCTTGTACATCTATAACAAGAGAGTGAAAGAAAACTGATAAGGAAACTAAAAGCAGAACACCTTAAGATACAACAGGGCAGAACAATAAGACAAGCAAGCTGGATCACGGTCTTTAAATGCCTGAGGAAACAAGTTCAAAACAATAGAACACAGTTTCCATCAGCTACGAGGCATAAACAAAGTCAAAACTATATTCTCAACACAAACTTTAAGTTACCTGCACGTCTAAGCGAACAGAACGTTGAATATCTCTATCATGCATTATCACATCATTAAATATATCCATCAGCTGGGTTGCCAAAAGAGTCGGGTTTTGCAGTCTATTGGCAAGAACAAAGCCCAACGCCTGCTCTAAACAATCATGCGCCAAGATGCTCGCATACAAGAAGCTACTCAAAATTGGCTCCTTTTCTGCCTGCAGTGTCAAAAACCATTAAAATCATTAGCCTCTGTAAAACCCACCAAAGAAAAAGATCGATGGGATTTTTGTTAATAATTGCAGCAAATTTTGTTGCCTAAAATAACTTAAAGCTTCATACTTCCTCACTTGCAAAACTTCCGGGACTTTTTCATTACCAAAAATACACTTATTCTGGTTGCTAAAAACAACTATTTTCAACCATTTAACAAAAACTTATAAAATTTAAAAAAATATTAATATTCAGAGCACCAAACTTCAACTAACTAAAGAACCAGAAATCCCTCGTTCAAAAATTGCATTGTACCTCCAACTTGGCCTCTTCCCTGACGGCATCCCATATCGGGTCGCCCGAAACCGAAGCCCGGTTAACCGGGTCGGAGTCGGGGTTCGGAATCCCCAATGCGTACACAGGAAAAATCTTCTCTAACCGGTACGCGGGCGGTTCGGACGTACACTTATTCTGGTTGCTAAAAACAACTATTTTCAACCATTTAACAAAAACTTATAAAATTTAAAAAAATATTAATATTCAGAGCACCAAACTTCAACTAACTAAAGAACCAGAAATCCCTCGTTCAAAAATTGCATTGTACCTCCAACTTGGCCTCTTCCCTGACGGCATCCCATATCGGGTCGCCCGAAACCGAAGCCCGGTTAACCGGGTCGGAGTCGGGTTTCGGAATCCCCAATGCGTACACAGGAAAAACCTTCTCTAACCGGTACGCGGTGGACTCGGACACGAAAAAGCTGGGCTGCTCGTCGTCGTGGCGGTCTTCTTCTCTCAGAGCCAAGCGTTCCGAGAGCATTTTGGGGAGCGCGACCCAGCTCTCGTCACTGACGCAGGCCATGAGAGGTTGACAATGAAGCTTCGCTAGCTAGGGATTTACTGAATCACAATCAGTCGATTGGGAAAGAGAGCCTCATAAATAACGAGAAGCATAGGAGAGAGAGAGAGAGAGAAGGCGGTGGTGGTGGTATGGGTTCCTGTGTGTCGCAGAGTGTGGCTTTGGTGTGGTGGAGGTGACGAAACTGCTGCGTTTCGCTTCGCGTTTGTTTCCTTTTTTTCAATATTTTTGGCAGAAAATAGTCGTGGCTGGGATGAAGATAGAGACGCGGCTGCGACTCTCAGAGCGATTTTGATAATCGTGATTTTCTTCGAATGGATGGCTCATATCACGAGTTGGGTTTTCTTCTCCTTTTTAAAGGCCTTTGGTTCTGATTTTGGTACGCTTTTTTTGCCTCCCTGCTGTTTCGTCTTTTTTATTGCGTAAAAATTCGTGTAATTATTATTATTATTATTTGTTATTATTGCTCAGGTTTATTTTATGTCATGATTAATTGAATGTTTTGGAAATGGAACAATGTTGTATACCCTTTGTTTATTATAATAAAATATTATCTATTAACTGTTGTATTTTTGTAAACCATGTGTTAACACCATGGTCATGATTCTTGAATAAACATAGTGAATCCATTTTTTCCTTTTAGTAGATGAGAGTCAACGCTGTGTGACAAATTATGTTATGTAAAGCTTTTTCTTATCCGGAGGAAATTGTGTTGGTAATCTAGCCGCAAATGGCTAGTAGTTTCAAGGGCCAGTACAAATACAAGGGTTATATGAATAACATCTAGACAATAAGGTGTTTCTCCAACCAAGTGGGGCTTGGATAAACCAAGCATCAATAACATTAAAGCAACATTAAAGCTCAACTCTTTAAAGTAGGAGATGCATTGATCTGAGGACATGATTGAACTTCAAGATAAACGAAACCCCAATGAGGAAAGGACTCGTTGAGACGAATATGATGACGCGGGAAATTCATTGAATCAATGACATAGTTGAACTTCGAGACAACCGAAAACCCAATAAGATAAGAGCTCGTTGAGACGAATAAAATGATAAATTTTTTACTGAAATCAGCAAATACAATAAGTCAATGATAAATTACTCTTGTCAATATATAGTTAAAAGTAGCTTAGCCTACTTGGCTTTAAATAGTAGTTTTGAGTCAATTCATTCTAATGCACGCAAATTTTTTGTTGAAAATTTTATCAACTTACTTATTGAAGGATTTTCTAACTTTAGGTATGAAAAGTTGAATACCACATATGCGTCACTTCCATACTACTCTTTCATTTGTAGGATTGCTAAATTTAGTTTAGTGACTTCAATTTGGAGAAATGATACGAGTTCACATTTACTTTAAGAAAATTTAAGTACTTTGTAGACCTAAAATACTTCTAATAACGTTTGGTAGAAATATTCCTAAATGATATATAAACTCATGGAGCTAACTCGGGTATATGAGTTAGATTTAAGTCGATCTCTCTCAACCCACTTAATTAACCTGATTGACTTGCGTCCTTGTTTAATTAGGACAAGCTACCTGCTCATCAGCTAATGCAATTAAGAAGACATCGCACGATCTTGTTAAGTGTACGTTTACTACTTCAATAATGGAAGGAATGAGAGGGGGGTCATATGCATATTGTCTCTATCTTATGTATTCATTGATCAACAATGCTTTTCTAAAATTGATCGAGGTGGGTCGAACAACTTAAGACAAAATACGTCTATGACATATGTACCCCGATGGGACATGCATGTTGTCCAAGCATAGTGTGATTGGACATCTCCAATTGCAAACATGGTGTTATGATTTTTTATCTCTAGTTCAAAATTTATGGTTCATGAAATTTATCTGGAATAGCAATTCGCATCGTATTCGAATACAATCTGTATCTGTTTGATCGATGAATAAATTTATCATGTTTTATTAGATTATAGATTAATAAAAACTCGATACATTGTATTCGTATTTTATGTAAATATTAAGATTAGCACAAACTTTTGGAAAGAACACCAATTTATTAAACCCTTTGATTATTACTTGTATTAAAAATCCATCCTAACCAATTAACCAAAGAAGCGTAAGGAAATTTGAACATCAAAATTAGCATCGTTGAACGTTTGACTATAATTAATAGACATATGATACATTTGCTGCTAATGTATCATCTATTTGTCTTCCTAGTTACAAATTAAGGGGCTAATCAATCTCTTAATAATCATAACCAGACTTGCTATCGCCTCATGGTTTGTGCTCCATCCAAAATGAGCACCGCAAGTGCGCATGGAAAAAGTGTCCTCCTTCGCCGCAAAGTCTGCAGAAGCTGACAAAGGAGATGAGTAAGGTGCAAGTGAGTTACTTTACTAGTGTTACTGTAGGCACGTGAAATGAAAGCCCACAAATGAAAAAAGCCGCCCGTATGATAGGAGGATTTGATTGGGACATTTGAGATTGAACGTGGTCATGTACACGGCCAGAGACATTCCTATATTCATTTTTGTATGACCTTTCCATTCCCTCCCAACCCGAACCATATTATATAACTTATCATTGCTCTTCCAATCATTCAGAATTTTACTCAAGACATTGGTATCTTTGGCATCTGGGATTCATTATAAAAATACACGTTAGCTGATGCACATCCGACTCACACTTTTTCCATTTGTTGGGTTGATGGCTTCATTTCTCCAACAATTGTATGCCAATGAAACAATATCCAGGGAGCAGTAAAAAAAAAAAACAATAACTTTAGAGAGATATTATATTATTGTAAGTGGACAAATATTGTAGATTTCTATGACCAAGAAGAATATCAACCAGAGCTTGACCAAAATAGAACATAGGCAATGGTCCTGCCTTCAATTTAATATTTAAAACAAAAGTGAACTGCATAGCTTTCATTAAAAAAAAAAAAAAAACTATTTTTACAGATATATAATATATGTAATGATTGGGGGCAGTGGTGAACAATTCTATGGTGCAAATTTGTAGAGCCATCTAGTAAATATGATGAAATTTGTGAGGTTTACATCCTCACATGTAAAGAATCTCGTATGCGTGTTTATAAAGAGTTGAGTTACTTTTTTATTATCAATTAATTTTGAATAAAAAACTCAACTTTTTTTAAAATGTAACGTGCATCTAGTGAAATTCTAATTGTTTATATACGGTTATAATCTTTGAAAAACAACGGACTTATTTGACCATACTACAATATGAATTTGTTCACCTCTAAATCTGTTGTATGACATAGAAACCCGCACGAACACGCCCTGATTAACATATAAAAAGCTTTGAAGTGGAATGTCTTTATGTTTGTTAATCTCGTCGACCTTCTTTTTTATGGGTCAAACAAATAATCTCCGGAAAAAGGGCGCCTTTTCCCGCGCACTGCTCTGCCGCTGCTTTTTATAATTGTGGGCTCTACATGCAGTCCAACCTTTCCCCACCGGGGCCCACCATTCATAGAGCCCTGGACGGTCCTTACCATTTCTGGCCCACCAAGCTTTTTATCACTTTCACTCAAACAATAAATTTGTTTAAAATAATAATAAATAAAAATAAAAAGTTAATGTTCTTGAGAATCTTCACATTCCAGTCAGTCTCTCTCTCTCTTCTGATTCGGCGTCTTTTCCCCGCAAATGTCTTCTCGGATCGCATAAGCGTAAACATCAACATCAAACCACCGGTCCCCCAAACAAGCCCTACTCTCCCGAAAAGTCCAAAATCCCAATCGGACCCTAACCGCCATGGCCAGAAGATCCGTACCAATCCTCCGCCACCTTCTCACCAAACCAACCACCCCGACCCTCGCCCCAGCCAACCCGACACGATCCGTCACCTACATGCCCCGACCCGGCGACGGCACCCCCCGCGCCGTAACCCTAATCCCCGGCGATGGCATCGGCCCCCTGGTGACCAACGCCGTCGAGCAGGTCATGGACGCAATGCACGCGCCGGTATACTTCGAGACCTTCGAGGTCCACGGCGACATGCCGAAGGTTCCAGACGAGGTGTTCGAGTCGATCAAGAAGAACAAGGTGTGCTTGAAGGGAGGGCTCGCGACGCCCATGGGCGGCGGCGTGAGCTCGCTCAATTTGCAGCTGAGGAGAGAGCTCGATCTCTACGCTTCGCTCGTCAACTGCGTCAATCTGCCGGGCCTCGTCACCAAGCATGAGAACGTCGACATTGTCGTGATTAGGGAGAATACGGAGGGCGAGTACTCGGGGCTCGAGCATGAGGTTGTTCCTGGCGTCGTTGAAAGCCTTAAGGTATATCAATCAAATTCTGTTTGGGTTTTTAGATTTCTTAATGTTTGAATAATACTGTTTGGGTTTTTGTTGTTATTTGGTTTATTGTTTGATTATTGATGGGATTTTGTCGTTTTCTAGTTTAATCATGTGGGATTGAATTTGTTTGAGGTTAAGTATAGGGTAATCATACTCAGCACATGGTAATTAACTATGTTTAACATTCTGATTGCATTTATTAAAAAAAGTGAGAAAATGTGACACATGACACATGTTTGGCAATGGTCCTATGGTAGTGACTGAAATTATTCTCTCTTATAATTCATTGTTAAGATTGCACTGACTGACTTATGCGGTCCCACACTATGGGAACTATTGCATGTGACTGTTGTATATGACCTCCCTCTGTTCAACATGTACGTGGGACCAGTGGCGGAGCCAGGATTTCACATTAGAGGGGGCCCTTCATAAACTTTGTCTTCTCTTCATAATTATCATGAATTTCATATTTTAAATTGGTTAAATACTAATATCATCATCTACACTATTAAAGACTTCAAATTTGATCATTTATATTCCAAAAGATAAAAGAAATAGAAAAACAAAAACAAAAAAGAGTTCATAAAGTGCAAGATTAAGGTACCCAACTCATACATAAAAAAATGAGGAAAATAAAAAATTCATAAAGCTTTAAACAAAAGAGGAAGAGAAAGAAAGGGTAAAACTTTAGGAGTTTTTAGTGCAAATATCATAAACTAACCTAGAAGATTTAAGAGAATGAGTAAAAGAGAGACAAGAAATTTTATGGTTAATTTGTAGACCAAAAGAACCTAATATATTATTTTATTTTAGAGTAAATACGTGGGACCCACTTTTAGATGGCACTGGGACCGACATGCTTGTCGTGAGAGTGAGGCCAAATGTGAGGATCACACGCAAGATATTCTCGAATGCATGGAAGATTCTGATATGTTCATTGCAGGAAATGTTTGTTCTTCAATTGCAAGTGATGTAGTCCCATACTGTGTTGCGCTGTTGAAGTTTTTGGTGCTGTTAAGTGGTTGTATGTTGATTGAGTTTGTGATATTTTAGCATTCAATCTATAGAAAGTGATCTAGTAATTGTAGCAGGAGTATCACTTTGTTTGATGGGCTTCTTTTTCAGCTTTTCCCTTACATTTCTTGCAATTTGAAGGAACGTTTTCTTGTTATCCTCTCCATATTGCGTAGTGTTGGGGATATTTTTGTCACTTATACTTACTCTTTTGCTAGGTGATCACAAAGTTCTGTTCAGAGCGCATTGCTAAATATGCTTTTGAGTACGCTTATCTAAACAACAGAAAGAAGGTGACTGCTGTGCACAAAGCAAACATTATGAAGCTTGGAGATGGCCTGTTCTTAGAGTCTTGTCGTGAGGTGGCCACAAAGTATCCTGGGATCGACTACAAGGAAATAATTGTGGACAACTGCTGCATGCAACTTGTTTCGAAGCCTGAGCAATTTGATGTCATGGTATGCCAATTACATTCAGTGAATCTGGTCGTTATAAGCAAATTGTTCATTTATTATTAGAAAAATGGAACCCCACATGGTAAAGATAGGCTATTACTGTACAGATTGGATAAAGAAAAGTATGCTGCATCTCTTACCATTATTGTGTGGGACAGTAGGACTGGACCTTCTGTTGAGCAGCCTAGGATGCCTCAGAAATGATGAGGCATCTCTTATGAGCGTTAGAAGATTCCTGAATCTTTGATTCTATCAGAGAAAAAACTATGGATTACCATGAATATTTCCTTGGTTAGGAAGTTAAATCCTTTTTGCTGCAATCTTTCTGTTAAGCAAAACCTGATTGTGTTGGAGCGTTGTACCTTCTAGATTCTTGGGAAAAAATTATGTATGTTTTGAATTGTAGAAAGGAGGGGAGTTTGAGGAGATGAGTAAAATTAAAACCAGTGCAGTGTGAGTTTTCTTTCTCTTCTCGAAAGACTGTTGCTTTTAACAATTCTACTGGGTCGAACTATCTCAGTTTTTTGTTTCTATTTTATAAATCAAAGAGGCAAAGTGAGTTTTGTAGCTCAAGCAGGCTGATTTACATTTTGCAGGTTACACCAAATCTTTATGGTAATCTAGTTGCAAATACAGCAGCTGGTATTGCAGGAGGCACTGGTGTCATGCCAGGAGGTATATCAATTCAACTGTTTGATTTATATTCCATTCACGGTCTTCTTTATAATACTGTCAGCAATGCCCCTTTGAAATGAAAAATTATAGGTAAAAAGAAACCTGATCCATGTATGAACAATGTGTTTCTTGATGGAAATTAACAATGATGGTTCTGGTGTTTTGCCTGCAGGCAATGTTGGGGCTGATCATGCTATTTTTGAGCAAGGCGCTTCTGCAGGGAACGTGGGAAATCAGAAAATACTGGATAAAAAGAAAGCAAACCCAGTGGCCCTGCTTCTCTCATCCGCCATGATGTTGAGACATCTGCACTTTCCTTCCTTTGCTGATCGACTAGAAACTGCCGTGGCGCGAGTAATATTAGAGGGTAAATGCAGGACAAAAGACCTCGGAGGACAAAGCACCACCCAAGAGGTTGTTGATGGAGTCATTGCTGCCTTAGAATGACAGAGAAGAGAAGGTATTCTTGAGCTACTACTGTTCATCCCATAGAATTTTTGGATTTGGCAAGGGGGGAGTGTTTACCCGCCAGAAATTTTCCAACATTTTAAACATAATTCTTTGATTGCCTCTAGATATTATTCACAAATTTTGTTTCATAATAATTCTCAAAGATGAACAACACTGATCTGGTGTTTTTTTGATACAAAATCCTGATCAAGTTTATGCTCATTCCTATTCTGTTCATAAACTTTACCAACACACTGGACCATTTTTTATTGGGGTTCAATTGTGTACATTGAAAATTGAATTCATCATGAACCAGGAACAAAGGCTTTTGAACTTGTGCATACACGCAGTCGCAGCATCAATTTTTGAGTTTCTAGAGAAGGGTTTCTGCAATGGGCTGGGTTGTAGTTGATCTTTGGCCAAGTTTACGCCTGGGAGGCCGCCAAAATGGGGCTGGGCTATAGTTTGACCGTAGGCTCTTGTTGTTGGGTTCACTAGGCTTGCTGCATCAAGTGTGCGGGTAAGGTGCTGGGCTAATAAATATTTGAACCCATGGGGCCAATAAAATAAAAGAAAATTGGCCTAACATTAAAACGTCCAACTGGCTCTCATAGCATAGCAATAATGCAATAATTGTTATTATTTATTTCTTTATTGAGAAAATGTAGTGATAAGATTGGCTTCTATATCTAAAAAAGTATGAATTTTTTGTATGCCCATATATCTCAATAATATTCCAAGCATCCCCGTTACATGCAAATTTTTCTCCAAACGAACCCATATTAGATTATATGATTAAGTCCATTTGTGTTGCCAAGTTATTTATAACTACTTTCCATTGAAAATAACCATATCCCGTGTCCATTAGTCAAATCCGGCCAAGCAGTCTTTATCAGCTATCTAGAGACTTTTAACTTGAAATCCAAAGCACGCATCTTTTGCTACATGATAAGGTTCTCTCATAAAAAAAACAAAACAATCAAACAATATAAAATATAAATCCTTATCTAAAGTATCGATTAAGGGTGCATCAACCTTAACACAATCCAATGAATGAATCAAATTAATTTATACTATAATAGAATAGGGTGAATCCACCATGCTTCCACGATCCATTAAATCGAAATTAACCTATATCATAATAGAATACGAATGAATCCATCCATCTAACGGCTAAAATAATGTTGTTACCAAATCTAATGTTGCCTGGCCTCATGCCCGTCTAGCAAAATAAACATTGTTACCATATGTGGCAAGATTAGCATGGCACTAACATGAAATTTACCCCTAGTAGTTATCTTTTCAGTGTCAGCTACCAGCCTAGGAATCGGTACTAACAAACCACTTCTTCTGACCAACTAACGTACTCGTAGACAATCCAATTATCCAATATTCATAGAGACACAGAATTTTCAGAAGTCTCCTTGTCATCTCCGTCAAGACCATGAACCACTTGGTCAAGAACTCGTTCACTCGCTTGGCTTCTGTCATCAGTCCTTATCATTTTCGTCCTGGTGTTGCTCATTATTATCGTTTCTGCTCTCACTTCTCTGGGAATAATTTTGAGCCAGAGTCATGGAAATCTATGGAGGGCCTTGTTCGGTGCCCAGCCAACCATGTTCCTTTATCTCCAATAGTGTTCTTGGAGCGAGCTGCAAAGGCCTACACAGACAGGACCTCACTGGTCTATGGATGTCTGAAATATACCTGGGCTCAAACTCATGAACGCTGTCTGAAACTAGCTTCTGCTTTAACCCAGTTGGGAATTTCCCCCGGTGATGTGGTGAGTTGGTTTTTTTTTTTCTTCATGTTTTTTTTGGCTTCTTTAATTCACTGCTTTATGCGCTGCTTAATTGTTTCTTGTTTCTTCAGTTTTTCCCATTTCAGAATAATCATGTTTTCTTGACAGATACCTCAAAATCATACTTAAAATTTTGATTTAATTTTCTTATCTATTATGTTAAATTATTAGTCAAAGAAGTTGCGGATGAAGCCTGTTTTCATGTTTGAGCATTTTCATTGTTGAACCAGGTTGCAACCTTGGCTCCCAATGTCCCAGCCATGTATGAGCTGCATTTTGCAGTTCCAATGGCAGGGGCAGTTCTTTGTACACTAAATTCACGCCTTGATTCAGCTATGATATCTGTCCTGCTGAGTCATTCCGAGGCGAAAATCGTCTTTGTAGACTACCAGTTACTTGAAATTGCCCAAGGAGCACTTAATCTTCTCACCCAAAAAACAGATACAAAACCACCTATTCTTGTTTTAATTGCTGACTCTGATGGGTCGTCTAGCACATCTCCCACCATATGCACTTCAAACACCTATGAATATGAAAGTCTTCTGGAAACTGGAAATTGTGGATTTGAGATAAGAAGGCCAAGGAGTGAATGGGATCCTATCAGTGTAAATTATACCTCCGGCACAACATCCAGGCCGAAAGGGGTTGTTTATAGTCACCGGGGCGCTTATCTTAACACATTGTCTACGGTTCTGCTTCATGGAATAGGCTCAATGCCTGTTTATCTATGGACTGTGCCTATGTTTCACTGCAATGGGTGGTGCCTCACTTGGGGGGTCGCTGCTCAGGGTGGCACTAACATATGCCTCAGAAAAGTCAATCCAAAATACATATTTGACAACATAGTTCAATACAATGTCACACACATGGGAGGGGCACCAACTGTCTTGAACATGATTGTTAATTCACTGGTCAGTGACCAGAGGCCACTTCCTCGCAAGGTGGAAATAATGACGGGCGGTTCACCACCCCCGCCACAGATCCTTTTCAAGATGGAAGAACTGGGGTTTGGAGTAAATCACTTGTATGGTCTAACAGAAACTTATGGTCCAGGGACTTATTGCTCATGGAAACCAGAGTGGGATTCTCTGCCTTCCAATGAAAGATCAAAGCTTAAAGCTCGACAAGGGGTGCAGCATCTTGGTTTAGAAGAGGTTGACATAAAAGATCCTGTCACTATGGAAAGTGTAACACCTGATGGTGAAACAGTGGGTGAGATTATGTTCAGGGGAAACACTGTCATGAGTGGTTATCTTAAAGACTTGAAAGCAACAAAGGAAGCTTTTAGAGGTGGATGGTTTCGAAGTGGGGATCTAGCTGTGAAACATCCCGATAACTACATCGAAGTGAAGGACCGGTTGAAAGATATAATCATATCTGGGGGAGAGAACATAAGTACAGTTGAGGTGGAAACAATTTTTTTTAGCCATCCAGCAGTTCTTGAGGCTGCTGTTGTTGCACGCCCAGATAACCATTGGGGGCAGACTCCTTGTGCATTTGTGAAATTGAAGGAGGGATTTGATCATCTCAAAGCTCAAGACCTAATTGAATTCTGCAGGGATAACTTGCCTCATTATATGGCTCCCCGGACAGTAATCTTCGATGATATACCAAAAACTGCAACTGGAAAGATACAGAAATTTATTCTCAGAGAAAAAGCAAAGGCCTTGGGGAGCCTCTCTTGAACAAGCTGTAACAAGTGGAAGGTAACTTGTTGGCTCCGTAGCAAGGCAAAAATTAAATATAGCAAGCTATACCATTGCATCTATGTATGCTTAAGGTTCTCTAATGAAGCTACACTACCATTGCATTTTTTTTGCAAATTATATTGAAAAACAGGAAATAGTACACACTATAGCTCATGTAGTGGGATGTGCATGATGTTGATGGAGATCGAGGCGGATAATGTAGGGATAATTGGATTAACCTGGTTGATGGTACCAATTATTATTTAAATGTATGTCAATTAACCTAGTTAAATGGCAAAAAAAAAAAAAAAAGGAGTAAAAAAGTTAAAGACTGCAAACGATGATAGTTTTAAGAGCTGTGGTAGGAATCTTGAAGATTTAATGAAACATAATGATGTTTATGCCTCCTTTCAGCCATTGCCTCCTAGGTTTTCGCCATGTTTGATGCCAATTATAGTATTTTATAATTTATAATATATATCCTTTTATTTTGCATGATTTTGGTATAAATTTATAATACAAAATAATTATAAAAAAAAAAAAGGAAACACCTAGGCACCCACCTAAGCCCCGATTACTCCTCTAGGCGCTAGGCCTCTGCCTGCCGCCCGCCTACCACCTATCCATTTTTCGAACATTACTGCTACTAATATATATACATGGCATCATGTGCAGTGCAGGATATGGGGGCAGATGGCTATTGAACATCAGTTATCTGCTGAAGCAGGCTTCAAATTCAAATTGAAATCTTCTTTGTATAGAAATGGGAAAACAGCTGACATTAAACCAATCATGTTTTGGAGCTAATATATGATTATGTCTGTCCAGGTGTGGTAATAATTGGGTTCATTTTCCTTTTCGCCGTTGAAATGGAAAGTGCAATTTATATTGTGTTATTGTAGCCTGCACTCTCAACCATAACAGGAATCTACAAATGGTATCACTCTCACTGTTCACCAGAATGTACCACTTAATTAACACAAGGTGAAGGTGACTCTGCTTTCAGATGTTGATAAGCTTTTGGTTCAGCATGAGGGGAATTAGTAGCCAATGATCATAGAAACAGCTTTAAGCCTAAAGTTTTTTTGGTTCCCTTTTCTTGGTAGCAGGAAATAGTTCAGGTAAAGAGTTATTTTCTTCCTCTTGAACTGTCATTTACTAAACCAGTTAGAAGTAGAAGAATTGGCTCTCCATTAGAAAATAAGTTGATTTCTGCAGATAGCCTGCTGTCACAACTAAATTCCTTCGGGCTATAAAATTGAGTTGCACGACATGTCAAAAACATAGCATCAAAAAATCTCTTTGGCCAACCTGCCCGAGAAAGCACCCAATCGTCATCATTGGTGACTTGAAACACATTGGTACGTACCAGGTAGCTTCTTCTCCTTGACTTATGCACTTGACATATGCAATCTTAGCTCTGATAGCTTCCACATCATCAAAACCAATCCAACTCAATCCTATGATGCAATAATTCACAGCATAAGTAGAAGCATTATACATTATGGGAGCTCCGTAGCTTCGAATCTACCACTTGATGTACTTATAGCTCATGGAACCGTGTTTTGTCTCAGCTTTGCCGGCTGCAGGTGCCCCAATTCCATTATTGTCTTTGGGGTTCACAAGTGTCCACGCATATAGCCATGGTAAGGCAAACCCAAAACCAGTTTGCTAGCAGGAAATGAGTTGTTTAGCCATTGCTTTATACCAAGGTTTGTTTAGCAAAGCTGAGCCTTGAGATAATGAATCAATCAGACATGGTATGTATTTACGTTCTAGTTTGTTCATCTGTGTGCGCTTAGGGTTGAGGAAAAATTTATGCCTTGTTTGTGTGTGTTGCATGTGTATAAAGAACAGAGTATAACTTATCCTATTAAGTGCCATTTGTCATATTTCCATAAATCAGTAAAATATTTAAATATTCACTCAACAAATGATAATTAAAACATAATTACTCATTAAAGTAATTAAAAAAGAATAAGATGTTACTTAATTACATATATTACAGTAAAGAAGTTGGCCAAAAAACAAAAGTAAAGAAACTAGTTATATATTTTTTAAATAAAATAAAAAAGCAACAAAAAAAATTCTCCCGAAGAAAATATATAGCCGTGCGGCTATACACTTTAAAAAAAATAAAATAAAGAAATAGTATAGTCCTGCAGCTATAATCTGATTTTTCCTAAATTTTTTTAAAAAGAAATAGTATAGCCAAGCGGCAATATTTCTTTTTTTTTATAAAGAAATAATATCGCCGGGCGGCTATACTCAGTTTTTAAAATTTTTTAAAAAGAAATAGTAACAACGCCCTGTTACACGCGATTTTTTTCAATTTTTAAAAATAAATAGTATAGCCGACCGGCTATACTCTGTTTTTTCTAACTTTTTTGTTACAGAAATCGTCAAGCCAGGCGGCTATACTCGGTTTTTTCCAATTTTTTGAAAGAAATAGTATCGCCGGTCGGCTATACGTCGTTTTTAATTTCTAAAAAGAAATAGTATAGCCGCACGGCTATAATCGGTTTTCTCAAATTTTTTTAAGAAAGAAATATTATGGCCGAAGGGCTATACTGTTTTTTCTATTGTTTTTTAAAAAATAAATAGCCTTGCGGCTATACTCCGTTTTTTCAACTTTTTAAAACAAATGACGGAGATTCTCTTTTTTAATTTTCCAAAAAGAAATAGTATAGCCGCACGGCTATATGTTAAAAGGGAATCGTATAGCGGACCGGCGATACTCGTGTTTTCCAATTTTTTAAAAGAAATAGTATAGCCGCACGGATCCTTTTCACCACCCCCGCCACAGGTCCTTTTCAAGATGGAAGAATTGGGGTTTGGAGTAAATCAATTGTATGATCTAACAGAAATTTATGGCCAGGGACTTATTGCTCATGGAAACCAGAGTGGGATTCTCTGCCTTCCATTGAAAGATCAAAGCTTAAAGCTCGACAAGGGGTGCAGCATCTTGGTTTGGAAGAGGTGATGGTAATACAGTGGATGAGATTATGTTAAGGGGAAACACTGTTATGAGTGGTTATCTTAAAAACTTGAAAGCAACAAAGGAAGCTTTAAGAGGTGGATGGTTGCGGAGCGGGCATCTAGCTGTGAAACATCCAGATAATTACATCAATCGAAGTGAAGGACCAGTTGAAAGATATAATCATCTATGGGGAAGAGAACATAAGTACAGTTGAGGTGGAAACAGTTTTGTTTAGCCATCCAGCAGTTCTTGAGGCTGTAGTTGTTGCACGCCCAGATAACCATGGGGGGTACTCCTTGTGTATTTGTGAAATTGAAGGAGTGATCTGGTCATCTGAATGCTAAAGACCTAATTGAATTCTGCCGGGATAATTTGCCTCATTATATGGCTCCTCGGACAGTAATTTTCGATGATATATCAAAAACTGCAACCGGAAAGATACAGAAATTTATTCTCAGAGAAAAAGCAAAGGCCTTGGGGAGCCTCTCTTGAACAAGCTGTAACAAGTGTAATTGGAAGGTAACTTGTTGGCTCTTATCTATTGTAAGAGAGGAAAATTTTAATAAACCAAGCTATACCATTGAATCTATGTATGCTTAAGGTTCTCTAATGAAGCTACACTAGCATTGCATGTTTGTTGCAAATTATATCAAAGGAGCAGGAAATAGTACACCATAGCTCATGTAGTGGGCTGTGCAGGATGTTGATGGACATCAAGGCGGATAATGTAGGGATTAACAATCGAACCGCAGTAGAGATAATTTCCAATCTTGATCCCACTTGAAATGAGAAACAACTCAGGATCAGAATAGTGAGCAGTCGGTTCCCCATTCAAATTCACAGCCAACACACCAGCATTCTTCTCCATATGCGGTCTGCCTGCTGTGTACCGCTTCACAATTGCCAGAACCTTTCGAATAAAAGGATATCTAAGTGCTAGATCCCAGAATGGTGTAACCTCCTGCCAATTTGGCATACAAAATGTCAATAAACCATGAAAAAAAAAAATCCATCCTTGTTCCATTCAAAACAGAACAACTGATGTGATTTTTCAGAAAACAGAGAGAAAACGAACATCACCCGGGCCAAAGCAATCCAGTACTGGCCTTCCCCCATCATATCTGATATTATCAGGAAAGCCTGGCAAACGGTCAATAAAATTTTCTACACTCCCTTTTTTACTGCCTTGTAGATAGTATTTTCTACACCTTCTCCTGCAATATTAACCATTTAAGGCAGTAAAAAACTTTGTCCATACTTTCAAATAAATAAATAAATAAAAGAAGAAGTCTTTTGAGTTCTAAGAACTTACATGACAGTTTCACAGAAGACAACGAAGTTTTGATCTGGAGAGACTGCTACTCCGTTGGCAAAGTAGAGGTTGTGGACCAGAACTTTGGTCTCTTTGGTTGTTGGGTTGTAGCTCATCAATCTGCCATGGGGTCTGCCCCCTAAAATATCCGAGATGAAGTCTTTTAAGCTGTATTTGTGTGAAGCATCTGTGAAGTAAAGCATGCCATTTTGTGCTACATCTACGCAGTCTGTTAGCTTGAATTTTACACCCTCGGCCTCATCTGTCAACAGTTCTACTGTTCCGTCCTCACTTATCTTCAATAGCCCCTGATTGAAAAAATAATAATAATAACAAAAAGAAAACAAAAATAAATATTGATATAATTATGAGGCCACCTCCCTCTTACAATATGCACAAGAGATCAGCACCTACTTTTATGCATGTTGTGAAACTGTAGAAAACTTCGGTGACATGAAATGGACTACAAATGGTATCACTCTCAACCATAAGAGGAATCTACAAATGGTATCACTCTCACTGTTCACCAGAATGTACCACTTAATTAACACAAGGTGAAGGTGACTCTGCTTGAAATTGAGTTGTACGACATGTCAAAAACATAGCATCAAAAATCTCTTTGGCCGACCTGCCCGAGAAAGCACCCAATCGTCATCATTGGTGACTTGAAACACATTGGTACCAAGTAGCTTCTTCTTCTTGACTTATGCACTTGACATATGCAATCTTAGCTCTGATAGCTTCCACATCATCAAAACCAATCCAACTCAATCCTATGATGCAATAATTCACAGCATAAGTAGAAGCATTATACATTATGGGAGCTCACTTGATGTACTTATAGCTCATGGAACCGTGTTTTGTCTCAGCTTTGCCGGCTGCAGGTGCCCCAATTCCATTATTGTCTTTGGGGTTCAAAAGTGTCCACGCATATAGCCATGGTAAGGCAAACCCAAAACCAGTTTGCTAGCAGGAAATGAGTTGTTTAGCCATTGCTTTATACCATAGCTTTGTTTAGCAAAGCAGAGCCTTGAGATAATGAATCAATTAGATGGTATGTATTTACGTTCTAGTTTGTTCATCTGTGTGCGCTTAGGGTTGAGGAAAAATTTATGCCTTGTTTGTGTGTGTTGCATGTGTATAAAGAACAGAGTATTTTTTGGACGAAATCTTGTTTCATTTAATAGAAGGTCAAACGCCATATTACATCAAAATGAACTCAAATAATTGAGTTCACACAAAATGCAATGCATACAGACATAGCCCACTATAAATAAAACTAACAAAATGCATAAAGTATAAGATAACTATGAATGTTCCCGAGGCACGTAATTGTTAAGGAAAAGAAGCAACTTGATTTGGCCCCTAAGGTAGGCATACCCCTGGGACTCAAACTTACAATGAAATATCCTAGATTCCTATATGGTATCTTTCAACTAACTCCTGCACTGCATAGTGCATACAGGAAATGCAATCTGTCTGACACCAACATGAAGCA